CTTATCATCTATTATCATATATCGAACAAAATTAGGTTAATATATGAGATAGAAGTGCTTGAACAAAACTAGATTGTCAGCAGTTGAATTTATGAAGTTACCACTTTGATATAAAAATTCATTAAAAGTTTCATAGATCTGACTGTTAAAACCAGTTTTACATACCTTCATAGCAAGATTACTGCTTTCTTTACAAAGAGATTCGTTACAGTTGAATTAGAGCCTATAAAGGTTATATTATCTGTTTTATGACCAAGGGGTTAGGGATATTTTGTGATGAATGTTCTTGTGTGTGTTTGTGTTGTATTTCTGTCACGAAGTGTTGTCATTTTAGCGATATTTTTTAACATTGTCATCAAGCGGGAGGTTTGGCTAGCCATTAAACCAGGTTCAACCTACCATTTTTTTTCTTAAAATGTCCTGTACAAAGACAGGATTATGGCAGTTGTTATCAAATAGTTCCTTTCTATGTATGTTGGCCTTTGTTTTTGTTGCACTTCAGTGTTCCTGTTGTTCCTTTGTTTTCCTCGTATAGTTGATGTGTTTCCCTCGGTTTTAGTTTGTAACCCGGATTTGTTTTCTTTCAATCGGTTTATGACTTTTGAACACCAGTATACTTCTGTTGCCTTTATTGCCCTTGGAGCCTCGAATTTGCTGAATAATATTGTATCTCTAGATTTAATTAATTGATGCTACGGTCGCTTGAAAGCACAATTAGGCGTTACGGCTTACTTTTGGGATTTGGGAACAAAACACCAGAACGAATTTTTTTATTAAACACCATTGAGTTTTACTGAGTGCGAAGAGTAAATATAAGCTATTCTTAACAATTTAAAGTACAAAAATACATATTTGTTAAATTACTTTGCATACTAGGCTGAAGGTAAACTATGCATACTGTTAACTGTGGATTTTTGCAAAGTCATCATATTTAAGGCACATGCTTTTCTCAATCTTAATGCAATATTTATAAAACTTTATATTTGGGTTAATTGTGAAGATAAACATGATTTGGTAAAATTCTATATGTTTTCCTTCTCCGTCTAATATAGGTTGCACTTCTGTAAATACAGACAATGTAATTTTACATAAAGAACTCCTTTTACGGCAATAACTGTGCCACTTTAACTATGAAGTTTCGTACAAAATCATATCCTGAAATATAAAGTTAAAATGCACTTCTATCTTATGCAGGGGGCAAAACATAGAACTGTTAGGCATATTTTCGACATTTATATGCCTTGAACTTCTAACAGTTTAAAACTTATACTAAAATTCTGTACTACCCCTCTTTTTACTTTGAGTTTTACTGATTCAATTTGTCCGCTAGCTAACAGTATTTATACTGGTACAACTCCTAAGTTGTCTTGGATCCAGTAGGTAAATAAAAAAAAATTATGAATATTATATATCTCCCCAAAAGAGGTTGTATTTATGTGTAACCATATTTTATTAAAGAAATCGTTATGTATAGCTTCAAGAGTAAAACATAAATACGAAATATACAAGTGATTCAATCATTGGGATAAGGAAACAAGAGCAGTGCTCTTATATAAATCCGTCTCCATAAATTCAAAAATAAAATTACGAAAATATGTTTACATGCTGAATAGCAAAGGAATATGTACGTAACAGAATACAGTCACTGAATACAATAACATAAAGAAAGTTCGTTATAAGTTGTTATACATAATACAAAATAGCAAAGGAAGGGAGTGAAAGGTTTTTAGAAGAATGGGTGTTATTAAAGAAAGGAATAATATTTCTTTATATCGGGGAGGAATGAATAAATAGAATTATAAGATTGTGGATGAAAATCAATTGCTACTCATAAAAAAAGTTTGCACAGCTTTGAATATAAAAAAAAATATTATGCAAGAATAATGATGAACAAAGCGGACTCAACAAACCCCTCTATGACAGAAACTTGATATCCATTATCATCTGTGAAACGGATTTTCCATAACGGTCAACCAACTTGTGATGGCGTCCGTAAAATTTACGGAGGGGTGATTTCAACTTCACCATTTGGAACTCTTGTTTTAATAGCTTCCTTGTAAGCAGCAAACCTCTATCAAGAAAATCATAATAGGAAATACAAGCCCGGGAATATCGTATCAATTGGGAGATAAATACTTCGTATGTAGGTGCTGCTGGAATGTTGCTACATAGAACCGGAAAGTTCACAATTGGAAAGCTGAAATCATCTCTTTTGTCGTAAAATTTTGTTTTCAACCAACCCTCATTGTCAATTTCTAGATGTAAGTCAAGATAGGGATATGTTCCTAATGTCGTAACTACAATCCCGTCCCTACTGTTCACGAATGTGACGTATCGAATAAGATTTGTTACAGGTTTGTACTAGCATGAGCAACACGACGGTTGCCACATGCGGAGTAGGATCTGCTTACCCTTCCGGTGACCTGAGATCATCCTCAGTTTTTGGTTGGTTTCGTGTTGCTTAGTCTTTAGTTTTCTATGTTGTGTTGTGTGTACTATTGTTTGTATGTTTGTCTTTTTCTTTATTAGCCATGGCGTTGTCAGTTTATTTTCGACTTATGAGTTTGAATGTCCCTTTGGTATCTTTCGTCCCTCTTTTGATACAATCCCAAAAGTGTGTTTGTGGAGACGCTAAAACAACGGAACACAACTTATTGAAATGCAAAATACTCAATATACCTTGTCAAAGACACATATACAACCTACAAATTCCTATCGGAATTTCCACTGATGTCTTACTTTTTGGCTCCAATTGATTAACAAAAGAACAAAATGCACTTATATTCAAAGGCTGTATTTATAAAGTGCAACCTGTAGAAGGAAAGATTTGTGTTCGCCGAACTCCTCACCTTTGTCCTTTAATAAGGACCAAGCAGCAGATAAAAACGCTATGATGTACCAACGACCCCAGACATAAGTTGAAGATTACTGTCCAATTTTGCCCAGGTGGACTGCTCAGAAACCAGTCCCTTAATCGGTTTTGCCACTAATAAGGTAGAATATACACAGAACAGGTACTTTTTCTCCAGACAAGACTCGTGAAGATTTAAATCCAATGACCAAATCTCAGATGGAAAGTGTTAGGACCAATGCCATTGTACTTATTTCCTATACCTTGGTTGAATGAAACTCAAAAATGGTTCTATTCACAAAATCAAGTGCTGACTTTGTATTGCCAGAATCTTGAATAGTTATACAATTTGGGTTTCTCCTTTGCCAACCCTGAGCAAGCCATAAAATCAGAAGGAGTAGTTATGTGATCAGGTTACTTAACATAGAGCCATCATCATATCTCTGAACGAAAGATTCACCATCCAAAGACAGGGCGTAACAACCAAAGAACGAGAATTAATGTGCCTTCTAATTGAAGCTGGAGAATGGACTTCATCATGATATAAGAATTGCCCTCTCGATTTATATGTGCCAGGGAGATATCATACTCCTCGACAGTTTTTCCATTATTGTCACATTCACTGGCTCCTGTGCTACCAAAAGAGTGATAGGTTCTTTCCTTTGAATAAATTAGAGAAAGACGATTACCAAATTACAGATATTGTGCTTTAGCAGTTACTGAAATTGGGCTATTGAATGAATCAACGCCTTTCTATCTCCTTTAGTATGCGATTATAAAGGATTGACTGTACCCTTTGCCAAGAAGTGTGTTCACTATAGTGGGTCAAAAGAAGTCATGGATAGGCGAGATGGGTGGGAATAGTTCGACGCTCATCTAGACTTATGAAATCCATCGATTATCAAACCTGAAGGAGCTATACAACTACTCACTACACTGATGTCTACATACCTACGTAAAGAATTTAAGTGTAAAGGGTCTGATATTTGGTAAATCTCATGTCTATTCAGCCAAAATGAATTGAAGATTTAAAGGATGAGTCATGTACAAGTTGCATATTTTTTTTTTCAAATGATATTTTGTATCCTACCTTCTATAGATTTCAGAGGATTCAAGTGGTTGTTTGATGTCACGTGCTGATCGTGTTTATTTAATATATACCGTGAACAAGAGTTATCGTTCATTGAATTAAAAAGTAAAATAACAAAAATACCGAACTCCGAGGAAAATTCAAAACGGAAAGTCCGTCCGTAATCAAATGGCAAAATCAAAAGTTCAAACAAATCAAACGAATGAATAACAACTGTCATATTCCTCACTTGGTTCAGGCATTTAATTATGTAGAAAATGGTGGATTAAACCTGGTTTTATAGTAATTGATACTCATGTTTATTCCAAATATCAGATAAATATTACACATTCGATTAGTGAACATATAGTATACAATCATGAAATCAGATATTTACTTATGTGGATTTACCACTACACTGTCATATGATATAACATTTTCTGACCGTGTATATAACCTGTGTTAGAATTAATATTTTCCTTATTAGAACTTAGTATCAGTGTTGTAGCATGTAGGCATGTATGCAATAATGACAGTGATCAGTTATTAAATCATAAATGATGTGCTTTTTCGTTCAATTATGTTTATGATTCTAGTTATAGGTTGAAAAATACTAATAACTTGTAAAAAAAATGTACACATCATATATACTATTTCATTAAAACGCTTAGTGTGAAAAAAAGTTAAATCACAAAAATACTGAAGTCCGAGGAAAATTCAAAACGGAAAGTCCCAAATCAATTTGGAAAATCAAAAGCTAAAACACATCAAACGAATGGACAACAAATGTCATATTCCAGACTTGGTACAGGCATTTTTTTATTTAGAAAATGGTGGATTGAACCTGGTTTTATAGCGCTAAAACTCTCACTTGTATAACAGTCGCATCAAATTCCATTATATTGACAACGACGCGTGAATAAAACAAACAGACATAATACCGCTTTTTATTGAAAATCTATATTTGTAATATATTTCAAGAATTGACCAGTTTATGATACATATCCGATTGGAAAGGTGTTTACTATGATAATAGAATTTATTATATGATATCATGGTTATTCTTTCTTAAATCTCAAGATTACAACAACTAGGTGTGGACATGGACCTTTCAAACTCAGCAGGTCGGACCGCCTTACATGCAGCGGCGGTAAACGGTATCGAAAAGGTGGTTGATTTCCTAATTGAGGAGTGCAAGGTTTCTCCATTTGTGAGATGGATGTAAGTATGTTGTATATGAATTGATTTTCTTAGAAATTTCCAATTATATTACTGTTGTCTGTTTCTCCTTATTAAGTTGTTAAGTAACATGAATTAATTGGTAATATGTCAACGTAAAAGTATTTTGAAACTCAAAAAGAAAGAGCAACAGCCCTTACAAATTGTTCAGGTCAGTGTAACAAATGGTTTCCACTAAATCTTAAAGAGGACATAGCTGTCAAACTCATGTTCACCAATTCGACTATAAATATCACATTTTATTTATAACATACATAAACGTCTATCCAAGATAAAGGGTTAAATTGAAAATCCTATGAATACGGATTCAAATGAGTTGAATTGTTGACTTACAAGCCAATGATACATCATTGATGTTTTTCAACTTATATTGACAAATTGAACCAAAACTGTCAATTTATAGCGACATACAATTTCAGAATTCCGCTTTTATAATAGTTTCAAACAACAACAAAAATCATATTTTGATTTTATGTCAATTTTGTAGCTAATGTCCCTTTTTATCTCGCCTAATCTGAAAGGCCAAGTAAGCTTTTCTCATCACTCGGCGTCCGTCGTCTGTCGTCGTTCGTCGTCTTCGTCGTCGTCGTTAACTTTTACAAAAATCTTCTCTGAAACTACTGGGCCAAATTTAAGCAAACATAGCCACAATCACTATTAGGTTATCTAGTTTAAAAATGTGTCCGATGACCCCGCCTGTCAACCAAGATGGCGGACATTGCTAAAATAGTACATAGGGGTGAAATGCAAGTTTTGTCTATCATCTTGAAAACCTCTATAAATACAGAAAATCTGACAGGGGCCGAAATGATCAATGATAAGATCTGCCAATTGTCCATTAACATCAAGACTGTCAGACGACTTCTTATAAGAGTTATTGTCCTTAAATGACAAATTTTACCATTTTTTTTTATCATTTTGTGCCTATTGTTTTGAAAATTATAATAGATAGAGATATACTTTATACAGCAAAAATGATAAGCAAGACATTTTCTACAAATATGTTATCATGGTTAAAATTGTCAGACCACTCCTAATTTGAGTTATTGACCTTTAATGACAATTTTTTGTGTCATATATATGAAAAACTAAAGTAGATAGATGGAAACTTAAATAAGGAAAAATGATTAGCAAGACAAGTTCTACAAATGTTGAACATAATGAATATGGTTGAAATGTAAGTATAACGACCCCTTTGCCGACTGACAAAAATTAAGTTGAACTGGTTCTATTTCTTTTCGAGAAGAAAATTGTACATTTAAGAAATATATATATATATATATATATATATATATATATATATACAACGTCTGGATATTAGTCAACGATCTTTCTTACGAGGGCACTGGATCGTTACGAATAACGATACATGTACACAATAAATAAATTATATAAACGCCTAAAAAGTGTACAAAACAACACCAATAATAAAAAAGGAAACATTAAATGTAATTATCTATAAATAATTCGGATAACAGATATCCTTTATCAGTATGATTATGATGTAAAATGAATCATATCAGTCTATTCTGCTTAAACTATAACAAGCTTGAACTTATACAAAAAAGTAAAATAACAAAAATGCCAAACTCTGAGGAAAATTCAAAACGGAAAATCCGTAGTCAAATGGCAAATTCAAAAGCTCAAACACGTCAAACGAATAGATAACAACTGTCATATTCCTGACTTGGTACAGGCATTTTCTTATGTAGAAAATGGTGGATTAAATCTTGTTATATAGCTAGCTAAACCGCTCACTTGTATGACAGTCGTATAAAATTCCATTATATTAACAACGATGTGTGAACAAAACAAACAGACATAATAGGTAAAAAAGTAAAAAATAGGGGTACAGCAGTCAACATTGTGTTATAATCTTAATCACTATAAAAACAAACAAATATGTAACAAAGAAATACAAAAAGGCATATAGACAAAGCACATTAGCAAAAATGAAGGACAAGAATACAAAAATTTACCATAGCACAATAACACAATGACGGGATGTATATGTACAGAACCACGTCATATGTAATAATTAAAACTAAACACAAAAAACGCTTGTACAATTCTTAAATTTTAAAAATGACGTAGGTTATATAAGTATTTACAACAGAGACTGCATAGATATGAAAAAATATGTGCGATATGAAATGGTACATTTCTAAAATCTCAAAGGTGACGACAGTTTAAAAGACGTTATAACAAAGACTGCGTGAAAATACATTCCCAATGAACAGCACTGACCGATCTTAGCTGGTATAATATTTCAAATTTGACAACGGTGCTGTTCATTTGAATATTATGATCGGCAGCTGTAGCCCGATAGCTCTAACCTATATAAACCGAAATCAGTTTCACTACAGCCAAATTTATCAAATGTCGTAAATTCTTTTCGTTTGTTCTAGAGTACGATAAACAGACATTTTTCTTTCGTAATGAAAATGAATTATGACTTCAATTTCGAGATCGATCTAAATATATACATATCAGATGTCATATCTATATTGGCTACATCTTAATTAAAGAAACAAGAATTAAGCCTTGATTTCGTAACATTGTTGTCTTTACCATAACAACCCGTTATTCTTTTCTCGACAAAATTTTTTAAAAAGTTCAACTTTGATATGTGATAATTCTTTAAAACCTAAAACCCTGTATAAGCTAACATATAGGAAGTAAGTGCAAGTCTGAGTTTTCCACTGTAAGTATTATTTTTAGTAAAATGTTTGAAAGTACTGAAAAATGTTCTCCTTGGTGACTTCTTTTAAAGAATGTAATTCTGATTGCAATTATGAGCATCTGATATCAAAACAAAACATCCTCTTGGGATCAGATATTATAGATAGCTCTGGATATTTTTTCATTGTTCTCATAAAGTACTATATTTATTCTTGTAGATTGAGCTCACAGTTACCTTGTGTTAAGATTGCACTAACGAAATTAAAAAAATATTACATTATTGAAAAATTATCTTCCACCTTTTACCGTTCTCCTGCGATAGGTGAAAAAGTAGAAAAAAATGGGAATCATTTCAACAATTAATTTCATGATACAAGAAAGATAACTCATACTAAACTGTAAAATGATTGTGTAACTGGGTGCACATCACAATTGGACAGTGGTTAGTGTGCATCCTATAGATATATATATATATATATATATATATATATTTGTGTAAGACTTAAATATGTGTTACTATGTTATGATAATTGGAGTTTAGATATATTTTTTTATAAGACTTCCAGTCTTTGATAGAAATATATACTTCTGTAAAACATTGTTTTTTTGGGTTTTTTTTTTTTTTTTTTTTGGGGGGGGGGGGGGTTAATATAATATAATCGCTGACACTGACAGGTCATCATTATTAAACATGTATTGTATTCTTCTTTAATAGAAAAATGTATATAATTATTGTATGAGATGTGGAAATACAAAATAAAGAATTATAAACAAAATATATAAAAAAACATTTTTTTTTTTTAAATTATGAACCACGATGATTTCGTTATCTTCTCCCGCTAAATGTGCGCACATCTGATACTATAAAACAGTAAAATCAAATAGGCTAATAAAATTCTTTGCGGATTCCATCAAATGTTGAAGATAAAGACTTGCATAATTTTCATTGAATAGTAAAATACAAGTTAATTCACGACACTTTTGTGTCCATTTTGTACATTTTTAAAAACCACCATTATATTTTTCCACTGGAAATATAGATCATCGGTCAGATGGTAAATATGTAAACAGACGAAGCTCTGGCTGTGCCGCTTTATGGTTTTTGACCAAACCCAATAGAAAAATTGTTCAATAACTAATGTAATACACCAAATACCTGTATAATCAATTCATATTTTATTATTTCAACCAAGTTGAATGGTAAACATTGCATCCTGACTATACACAAAAAAGCATCTTATTAATTATCAGTCCCTTGACCAGTGAAAAATGGTTCCGAGACTTCTGAGTGTCTACTGCCGAGTGACTTCTGAGTGCTTACAGTCCAGTGACCTGTGAGTTTCTACGGTCCAGTGACCTGTGAATTTCTACGGTCTAGTGAAGTCCAAGGCAGTGTAGGATACACAGTATATGAAAACACCCAGTGGTTAAAGATCTTGATATACAATCTGTAAATTATAACAAAAACATATCAAATTGTGCCTTAAACATCTAAACGGACAGCTAAAAGCTTTCCCTTAAATTTCCCATTCGAAAACATCATTTTTTTATTATTGCCTGTAGCTAAAATTATATCAACTTCATGAAATTCTAGTACTTCTTACACGAACTGAACACATTCTTAATGTCTCTCAAATAAAAGCGACCAAAACAAAGAAAGTAGCGATTTCGGAAAAACTTTTTCCATTCTGCCTTGTATGTTACAAATGATTGCTGCCTTTTCGAGCAAGATTTAAAAGCGGTCCAACCAACTATTACTCCCGTTCCAATTACAAGTTAAAGCCGAAGTAGTACTAGTTCTTGTATTCTAAAATATGAAAAATTAAATCAGTTAAGCTTCGTGTTGCTTATTTTGGCAAATCTATCTACTGAATGAGGACCCCAGGATATATCTGGAAGTTGACAAACTCAGACGAAACATCCCAATCATCTGCTTTATCGTGATCTTTATACCCTCACTGTAACACACCTGCTTGTTCACATGTCTTAAATTTAAAATTCTCTAATGCTGATTTATTATTTTGTTATTCATTAATTTATAAAAAGAATCTTAGAACCAACATTATCAACATCTAGAATAAAATCTAAAGTATTGATCGTGTTCCAAAAACAAATAGAATGTTTCAATCTAGTATGTACATTTATTTGATCAAAGATAAACCAGATTCATATTCAGAATAAGAATGAAAATGGTGAAACTTTTATACCTATAATATTTCCGAATTCATTTTATAGTGAAGTTCCTCTGTAAGCTTTAAAGTCGCTGTTCTCTTCATCAGTGCACTGTTTTGCCCATTTGTCCATGCAAACCTAACTTGCTTTGTTTTCTTAATGGCTCAAATGTTCTTTTTGTCTTCCGAATTGCTAACTTCCTCGTCTGATAGACAGATGTCAACAGGTTTCCACCCTTTCTCCGATTTGTCCGTTATGAGTTGAAGTGTGTTTCTCTTCTTCGGAAACGTCTCCGACCTTTCCAACAAGGAGATGGCATTGGACTATCTCTTATGATAATTAGAGACTAAGGCGACATTTATATTGTCAAAAATATATGTGCTTAGTTTAAACTACATAAGTTTCCTTGTATAGAAAAGTATGTTCTGTCTTCTTGTCTTGACGGACCAAGTCATGTATTGTGTCCGCCACATTCATCTCAATCCACGAAAATTTGTTGCTGTAATAGATTTTCCACAAATAAAGCAAATCAGAATACGAAATATCAACATCGGGATTTTTAGCATGTGAATCAATTCCTAGTTGCACGGACTGTTCAAAATCAGACGAGATGAAATTAAATTTCTTACTAAAACACGTGCTCTAGTTTGGTTACTTCTCAAATTTTCGATAACTTAAAACATGTGCAGTTACTTTGTGTACTGAGTAACAACAATTGTAACATAACCTTTTCAAAAAAAAAATCATTGCAAATCTTTCAAACTTATTCCGCATAAAGCACATACATATATTTATTTGATAGAGCTAACTGACTATTACAGAATTTTTATAGAAATAGAATTGATATAGAAATTATCAGCTGATTTATCCCTCGATTCAACTACCGGACAAAACGAATGCACTCCTCTGGAAGCATCACATCCTCCGTTTTCCAGATACATCACCTAAAATGAATCGCAGTTAAAAGTTTATTTAAAAGCACATTGAGACAAAATAAGATGTAATGATGTCACGTATAAATAAATGATTATATTTTATGATAATTACATTTCATAAATGTTTCATTAGAGTCTGTAATTCTAATTGGCATGCAAACTTCGCACTGTGTTCTAAAAATAATATTTTTGACTTCACGTTCTCCCCTTGATAAAATCAATGCAAATAGAAACAAACGAAAAACTAAACGTGTAATGTCATGGTGACAGCAGAAAATCTAATTAAAAGAGTTCAATACTTCTTACTGTAATTTTAAAGGGTGTAAAATTGATAATCGTGCGCACATATTTAGTATGAATCGCTTCCAACAAAATGTGCTTCTGTCAACGGTTTTACACCCAATAACACTGTTTTTAAGTTAATCATTTAAATCTAAAATAGCATAATAAATTAAGTTTTGTTTTGTCAAAATTTGTTTCAATTTTCTTTTATTTTAATTAAATACATTGTCATATGGTTACTACGTCAGATTTAATCTTTGCTATGCAATATTGTTAATTGATGTCATTTTACAGGCAGAAACGACCTGTTGATTATGTACCCGATAACGGGAATAAAGTTAATCGGCGCATAAGGGAGAAACTACGTGACTACATGGATAGACTACTGGAAGCTGCAAGCATGTCAGAGGTAATACTCGATTGCTGACAATACATTTTTACCGTCCAACAAATTACTAAAGATAATCTGCCAATCTATACAATTTCCAGTAAATAATTTATTTGATTACTATTTATCCATAGATAAGTAATATCGCTTCAAGTGTAAATATTGTTTTATCATATGTCTTATATACTGTCTTTGCATTCGATTTAATAATCGCAAAAATATTCAGAGCAACATTGAAAAAAATAGTTTTATATATAGGCGAGTGACAGTTTTCATAAAGACGCTTAGTTAACGACTTTGATGCACCCATCTAACATACGGTTATATTATATATCATTCGAAAGCTTATTAAATGTACTTAATGTTTTGCCCGGTCGTCAACAATTCGTACGGTGCAATTTTCGTTAAATCAAGGTCAAAATCAAATGCAAACTAAAATGCTGATTGCGCAATATTTACAGAAAATTGTATTTCTTGAAAAAAACTTCCAAAATGATAAAATTGCAATAAAAGCTAAATAATTCCTGAGGTTTAAACATTTATATATCAAAAATAGAATAGATTTATCGTTTATAGGCCAAGGGAATGTTTTCATCATTTTAAACTGCAATTAATACGATATAGGTCAGGATGCAGCCTTCTAATGAAGCTTTTGCAGTTGCCCAATAAAGAAACAACATCTGCAAATAGGAATCATTTTGCTTTTTTCGGCTAAATAATATTGTCAATATCGGCAGAAAATGATTAACCATATTTGAAAAAAAATGATAATGGAAGAACTTTAAGGAATAAACAAGGTATATTTAGTAAAAAAAAATAGTTTTCCGATGTCGAAAGACATGTTACGAAGTTAATTCTCGTTTAATATTCTAATGAAAACTTTTTGTACCATGCGATTTTCAGGAACAAATCCGGCGAATTCCTTTTATTGTTAGCCCATTGTTATATACTTTAGTCGTTTATCGAATATGACTGAAAATTAATACATAGTGGAAGATTGAAGACCATTCCTGAGCAACTGCGATCACCACAGGGTTTAGGTAGTGTTCGCACATTTCTCTCTCTCTCTCTCTCTCTCTCCCTCTCTCTCTCTCTCTCTCTTTATATAATATGGCGGAAATGTAAGAATCATCTTGTCCCTACGTCCTTTTTTTTGTTTTGTTCTTTCCGTTTAATATTTCCATTTGTTATTCTTAAAAACTTTGTAATTAGCAATATTCCTCCTACATTGCTTCGTAGATTTTAGTGAAGTTCAAAGTGTAAAAGTGCACACGTGGAGGTTGTACATGAAGGGATTTTTTTCATAATACACATATTCAAATAGAATTAAAAATAGTAGACACTTCAATTTATCATAACAAGCCTGCTTTTAAGCTATCTCATAAAGTTTAATCCAATCTAATTTAAATATAGATCTCTGATTTATTTATCCTCATACGATATCGTGAGCAGGCGAGTCGTGATAGATCTGAATTTTAATCAGATTGTTTTAACCCATGTTTTTTACACTTATACATACCATTTTGTACGTTTTATTTCATGTCAACTAATATCATGTATTATTGTTGTGAGATCTTCGCACCATTCGAAACCCAAACGCGAAACAAATATGAAAATAAAGTGATAAAATCACCAAAAGTCACTGTCAGATCAACAAGAGAGGGCTTAGTGCAAAATAAATATCCACAAAAATAATTTGAGTTTAGATGACATAAAACCAATTACAAAACTGGATAAATTTAACCACAATTTTCATTTCTCACAATTGTATAAATATTTTAGAATAAAATAACTCATTTTAACAATACATATTCTTAATGTACATGTACTATCTTTAAAATGCCAATGTTCAATAAATGCTTGACAGATGATCTACTAAAATAGTGCTCTGTTTTTCTGAATGCCTTAAATGCAAATATTATGTGGCACATTTACATTGAAATTTTAATGTAAAACCATGCCCAATTAACATTGAGATGAAAGTGGTTCAAATGCATTTATATTCCAGTTTATATTAAGCAAATAACTTTGTAACATGTAGCTGTAGTAAACATTAATACCAAAACTGCTTTGTTTTGGTAAGAGGTTGACTGTTTTTACAAAACAAAGCAGTTGATGCTGATTGGTAGATTTTTTGTTTTAACACCTATACAGTAATTTCGTCTTTGATACGAATAAATATAACTAATGTATTGTTGACGGGGATTGCAAGTTTTCCTGCCGAATGTTGGTGGTTCCTTGGGCACTCCTTGTGCCTTCACCAATAAAACGTGCCGAAACTGATCGCCACAAAATACTTTAGTAGCCAATAGTGTCGTTAAACACCAACAATCAATCAATCATCTTTATATTACAATGTTATCATATGTTAACTATTCTGGAAGTGCAATTATTGTTATTGCGAATTGCTAGAATTTACAAATCTAAAAAAATAATGTAAGTAAATATAATTGCAACATGTCTCAACTTATTTACAAGAAATTACGTAGTTTGATAGGATTCAATACTTCGGCCAGGTATGAAGAACATTTGCAGTGGTTAGCTTTTAATAGCTTTCACTTCCTTAGTCAATGCACGATTCAGTATAAGCAACCAAGAAAACATATAAATATTGAAATATCAGTTTCGCTCCCAAAATGTCCCCTAAAAGCATGAATTTTCTGTGTAGTATATCCTTGAACCTTGATGCACTTTGAAGATTTGTGTTTTTTCAACCAAAAATTGACAACGTACAATTGGTTTTAACATAGAACAGCTAAAAAGAATGTCTTTTTGCAGATGGCGGTATCTTTGGCAACTGCATGGGTTGTTATAATTGGCTGTTTAATTAACAAGAAGCGTCATTGCAGTATTTTGATGATGTCAAAAACATCCTAAGCACTAAATAAATTATATTTTTTGGTTTTATGGTGAATAACAATTGAATCACAGACAAAAAAAAATGGTTTTCAGGCATTCTTATCATTTTCACTGGAATTTCTGGAAAACGGCGCTATTTATTAAAAATCCGACATTAATGATCCAAAGTGTTTTTGATAAGTAACTATTAAAAGATTTTTGTGCTTCCATACACAATGTTATTATTCAGAAGACACAATATGCAAAAATGCTGTCATCTTGTAAAATTAGAAATTATCTGCCCTTGACCTTTCATCGAGATTTGACGGAAACTGCACCATGCGAATATTTGACGACCGGGCAAAAAAGATACATTGTAGTACAGTTGATGTGCTTTCGAATGGAATATGATTCAGCCGTATGTTAGGTGTGTGCAGTAAAAAAGAAATTTTATGGTTAATGCACTCGTCTAATAACAAGACCTTTGTCTTTGTCTAAATAGTATTTTTTAAAAAGACTTTAAAAACTAACCCAACCATAAAGACAAAGTTTACAGTGCCTATTCTATTTTAGCAGTTGCAAAACAAAACTAAGGTAAAAGGAGAAGATTGAAGTGGAATCACTAACTTATTTTTACACTTACTAATATAGTTTTAACAATCTTCTTGCAAGTGTCAAGCTGGTTTTTGTAAAGGTGGTTCGCACAATTAGTTTGACTGCTTTTTGTAAATTCTTAGTCTTTCTTGTACTTGATGTTTATGTAACAACGTCACAGACAGTAATTAGAACTAAGAAAAATGTATCGTGAGTGCCAATGAGACAACTCTTCATCCAAGTCACAATGTGTAAAAAGTAAACAATCATAGGTCAAAGTACGGCCTTCAACACGGAGCCTTGGCTCACATCACACAGCAAGCTATAAAGAGCCCCAAAATGACAATTCAAACAGGAAACTCAGCGGTCTAATTTATATAAAACAACGAGAAACGAGAAACACTTATGAACTACATCGACAAAACACTGAACAACAGGTTCCTGACTTAGGACAAGTGCAAGCAAATCCAGCGGGTTTAAACGTTTTAACATGCGTCATTAATGCATTAATTGCAACACTGGTTATTTATTGATCAATGATAACAAATTATTCTTTGTACCTTGTAAAAATTCTTTAACAGAGGTGATAGTTCACGTAAATCATGTCCATAGTTTCCATACAATATCTCGAAAATAATTCAGCTACTCTGTTTTTTTAAGAGACTGGCCGAGGTCTGAACCTAAATTTAAAAAATCGAGTGAATACATTTTTGTATGAGGGCGCTTTCTTCGTCCAGTCTTTCTGTATTTGCCTTAAAGGAGCATTAGCTGGCAAATTCATGTTCACCGATTTTAAGAAAAGGGGGGTTTTCGCATATCGCGCCGTACGTCAGAAACTATTTATGATTAACGCATAAAAATTCACCCACAAGACGACGGGCGTATCATGCGCTCATGGCGCAGCTGTTTATTTTTTTTTTTATCTGACAAATCTTACGAAACCCCATCGTGTAACTCTGCATTTTCTTTGTTGTTAGAATAACTACGAATATACATATGATATATTTCTACCCCTAAGACTTGCAATTTCCTGATTATTTTTTGATTAAATCTTCTAAAATAATCTTGAGATACTCTACTTCGATTTTGTATAATTTGATTACTCGTCCAAGGATTAAAAAAAACCGACAAATCTATAAAATTCAAATTACGTTATTCTCTCTCTGTTATTCGGTGGTCCTTATTATTATTTTTTGTATTACCTGTTTAAACTTTAAATGAAAGTATGTTTATCTTGTAACAATACCAATTGGTTTTGAAGCCGCGAATTTCGTTTCATAATAACCAATGTGCAATGAAGTTACTCCTCCCGATACATCATCTGTGTCTGCCTTTTAAAATATCAACAGTAATTGTTACTATAAACTATCGGTATTTTTTCTTTCTTTTTCACCTTTTTGACTACATTAGGTAAGCACACGAAAATGTCTTACCAAAGGGTAGTTCCCTGTCTGAGATTCTCTAGAAATCTTTCAAATTTCGTTAGAATATCATTTCTCTTGTATACTTGAAACATATTTGTCTTCTGACTAGTACATGAAGGAGTGAAAACAATGCATCGATAAGATATTTGTTTTCTTTTTCATTAGGGAAGGAGCGTTTTCCGTTTACTTTAAATTCTATGCGACAGTGCTGATAAACCTACTGTGTGCATTTGTTTTCCTTTTTTCTTCCCCTTTACTTACCTTATATTCATTTACCAATTTAACTGTAGTCATTTCAATTTACCCATAGACATGTAGTTCGTTTTGGTGATTTCGTGAGTTGTACATGTATTCTGTTGTTATTCCACTGTCCCTTTCTGTTCACTTCCCTTATATAATTTATATTCTTATATGTACACATAATTTTATTTTTGATTTTCTATCACTTACATTAATTAACACTGTTTATAAATACATGTTTTACTATCCTTAGTTCACCAGCAAATATGATTATAACATTGAAACACGATTATCGATTGTATATAATTGAGGTGAATTTTATCTGTATGAATCACAACACAAAAAATGGTATGTTTTTTTTTAAATTTTAAAAAATTTCTTTATGAAAGTTCAAGTTAAATGATTTTTAAATTATTTTTTTTAATCACATATACTTATTGTGTAAAAGCTGGTCATTTCTGTCTTTAATTATCGATTTAGACAGTAGGTAAAACAATTCTTGAAAGATTTGCGACACATTTGTCAGAAGGTGTATCGTAAACTACAAAAGGCCGGATTATCATAATTCATCAGTAGCATTATAATTTTCAAAGTTATGTTTCGTTAAATAGATATCGATAAAGTGAGTGAATTTTAACAATATCGCAAACAGCAACTGTCCTTACGGTTACTGTCATTATGAAACCATACGGTCTATTATATGTAACATTTTTTTATGAATTATTCAAATAAACTACAAATGGTTTATATTTTGAATATACATTTGATGGATATTAAAATGTTAGAAAAGAATATCTCTTTTGCTATAAACTTATCATTTCTGATCCGCAAATACATTAAATGCATGCTTATCTTATCTTTTCCATAAATAGGAAGCACCACCAGATAAACAAACACAAATTGTTCGTTTGTTGAATTGTGCATCTAGGGGAAATATTCAACGCATGAAATCGTAAGTTTTTCACATTATAGTATAAAAATAAAAATGAAATAGCTTTTATGGAACAAAGGCATTAAAACTAACAAATGGAATACTAGTATTTCTTGTGCAAACATACTTAACAGTCCATGGCTAGATCAGAGTCATTTACAAATGTGCATTATAGATGAATGGAACAGCAACCTAACGACAAAATGAACCAACAGATAATCAGTGTTCATAATAGACAGGCGACTATACAATATGACAAGCTGGCAAGCTCTAAATCGTCGCATTAGAATAAATCTTTCGAAAACCAACAGTTGAGATTTATGGTCCTTATGTTCAGTGAAGGGTCTACGTGTTTGATAATGACAATGACTATATTGTTGATTATATATATACTCTGTCTGAAAAACCAAACGAATCCTTACTAATTAAATACCATGAAAATTCCTGGAAGTGAAATCATGGTGGATATGAGATTCTATATTCGAGCAAATGCATTCTTATGAACTTTTCCCTTTACAGTAACACAAATACTGCACAGAAAATTTTGTTCTGGATGTTAGTAGAAAGACTGTTAAAATGGCAATGTAGATACATAAGTAGCTCCCACTGTCTGTAGGTCTTATTTTGTGCTTTAAGGTGCTAACCTGTGCAAAGTGATACCTAATGTTATACGATATGGCAACTAAACTATGTCGACATATTAATTTGGTAGCCAGAATACGAATGACACTAAAAAACTGCACTACAGCATAGCATAATGAATTAAATATGTATTCCAGTAAATTTTCAAAAAATATTCCAATCATAACATATACATTTTTTCTCAAAATACCGTTATATAAGGTAAACAACAAATACCTTCATTAGTACATACTTTTTGAATTGATCAAACAATGTAAAAAAGATTTTTCAACAGTTAAATACTAGCGGTTCTTCAAAAGTTATTTGACAGAACTCACCATCAGTCTAATTCTTGAAGTAGCAGCATCAATGACAACATAGCTCATTAACTTCTTTTCCATGACGCTATTGGTATTGTAAAGCGTTATCAGAATCACAACGAACCGGAACATGAGATGTGATTTAAAAAAAACTAAATGTTTTGTTTTCTGCAACAACTGCATAAATGGCATATAAGACAAACGGGAAGCTTATTACGTGAACATTTCTGAGGTTACGAACAGCGGACTGGAGATCCCAGGTACTGAAAGAAAAAGATTGGCAAACACCTCGAAGTGTTTGCAGTTGAAAAGCATAGATTTAAACATACCGATATTTAAAATAAGTAGACGTCTTGGACTGCTCTAGAATGAAGGATATTACCTACGTAAATGACCAGAGAAAGTAAATGAATGATTCGTTTTTCCATCTCATTTATATTCTTGGCCACAGGTCGGAAATTCGGTGATTGCGGGTATTCAGGTATTAAATTTGTATTTTTGTCTTGATATTTGCAAAACAGATCCAAAATACGATTGTAAATATAATCTATTTTAGAAATGGACATTGAAAAGAGTATCGTACTCCAAACAGCTTTTCGTATAACGCTCATTTATTCGTTAACTCAAATAACATTCATAAAATTTCACAAGTACTGATTAGCAGGCTTGTGATAGTCTGGCAGTGGCATCAATTAAAATCGAAGCAGAAACAGCTAAGTTGTCGGGTTCTCATGAAAAAAGTAAAATAACAAAAATACCGAACTCCGAGGAAAATTCTAAACGTAAAGTCCCTAATTAAGCAAATGGCAAAATCAAAAGCTCATACGCATCAAATGAATGGATATCAACTGTCATATTCCTGACTTGGTACAGGCATTTTCTTATGTAGAAAATGGTGTATTAAACCTGGTTTTATAGCTTGCTAAACCTCTCACTTGTATGCCAGTTGCATAAAATTCCATTATATTGACAACGATGTGTGAACAAAACAAACAGACATAAAAAAATAGGGGTTAAGCATTTAACATTGTGTTATAATCTTAATCACTATAAAAACTAGATAAGGACAATGCCCCCCCCCCCCCCCCCGCACACTTTTTTCTGCTCTGCCATATGCATGAGTATAGTTCCACATATTTTAGATTTGACAAACAGTGATGTTGGCATACAACTTGAAATTGATACGCTGTCTATAAGACACAAATGATGCCCCCGCCTTACCAAAAAATGACTAAGTCCAACTACTTGTCATTTTCAGAATATTAGAATAAATCAAAATCATGTGGCCATGCACAGCTCCATTATGTGTTTGAACATCCTACAAAATATTAAAGCTGTATCTCCAAAACTGTAGCAGGCGATAGCCGGACAAACCATGATCTCTTTATGCAGCTTGTACCAAAAAAATGACTAAGTCTAACTACCTGCCATTTTCAGAATATTTAAAAGAAATCAAAATCCTGTGGCCATGCAGATCTCCATCATGTGTATGAACATCCTACAAAATTAAAGCTGTACCTCCAAAACTGTAGGAGGAGATAGCCTGACAAACCATGATCTCTTTATGCAGCTAGTACAACTACTTCTCATTTTCAGAATATTTGAAAAAATCAAAATCCTGTGGCCTTGCACACCATTATGTGTATGAACATCCTACAAAATATTAAAGTTGTACCTCCAAAACTGTAGGAGGAGATAGCCGGACAAACAATGTATCCTAATCCGGACGGATGGACGGACGGACGGACGAACGGACGAAGGGACAGACAGGGGTAAATTAATGTGCCCCTCGACATTTTGTCGCGGGGGCATAACAAACATATATGTCAACAAAGAAAAACAAAAATGCATATAGACAAAGTACATTAGCGAAACGAAAGACAAGAATACAAAATATTACCATAGCATAATAACACAATGACGGGATGTATAAGGACCGAGCCATGTCAAATGGATATTAACAAAATACACTAAAGAGTAAAAGTTATGATTTACAAAGACAAATAAAAGAATGATATAACACGTTATTAAGATGATAAACAATATCTATACTTCAAGACCATCGTGTATAATTTGTGAAGTTGATACGGAATATTTATCAATAAGGTCTTGGTATCTTCCGATGAACTTTTTCATGCGAGAACATCAACTAGTCCTGCAACAACAACAAGTATTCAGGCAGTAGAAAAAAAATAAGTATAGGGACGACTCTAGCATTTACATTAATAGCAATCAGAGATGTGATACAAATTAAGATTGACCACAACAATATTGACATAATCGCCCGTTCAAATGGTTGGTTATTTGCATGCATGTTCATAAAAATATATGTTGACTATCAACATGACCGGTTTACATTCTGTGTGTATGGTTTGATGCATTTAAAATTTGATTTGTAATTTTAAGAAGGAAATATTTTTTCTCGTATGACTCTTATAGGACATAATGTTTTCAACTCTTTATGTATCTTTTCACATCATTTTGTAGTTTTAAAGAAGCAAATTATGACATGGACCTTTGTGATTATGATAACAGAACAGCTTTGCATATCGCTGTCAGTGACAACCAGGAACATATTGTTGATTTTCTTTTGGGCGAGTGCAATCTTCAAAATGTAGCACGTAATATGAAAGACAGGTATATTATTGAAACTAGATCCCAAAACAGTTGGGAGCAAAGTCTAAGTAATTCGTCTACAATGATCACTATGAAAATGAAAAGAAATGGTATAATTGCCAATGAGAGAACTAGTCACGAGAGGAACAAAGGCCATGGATGTAATAAACTATAGGTTACCATACGGCTTCAAACAATTGCAAATCCCATACTATATTATAGTAAGCTATGAAACTCCGGAATGACAAAACGAAAATCAATCTAAACGAGAAAACCAGAAAACAACCAACGGCAACCACAGTATTTCACGCTCCTGGCTGAGACAGGTTTATAAAGAATGTGACGTGGTTAACCATGTACGCGAGCCCTCAATCCTATATCTAACATGGGACAGTAGTGTAGCAGCACAGCTGTAAAAACAAGTAAGAAAGTGCTTGACTAATAAGATCGGCATAAAGTACAAAAAACAACTGACAAAAAGACAAAAGATATGACGTACCGATCAAAGAGTACTCGCAGTTACTGAAAAAAAGCTACTTATTACACCAAAGACAACTACCTATATAATCATGCTGTACCAGACTTATCAATCAGTGTATGGTTCATTCCGGTCACTCCGGCTTACTTTACAAAAAAAAATATCGCCATGAAACAATAAAGAGCGTTGACTCTAACAAAAAACACAAACTTAAAGTGTAAGATAATAAAAATTTGAAGGTTTTTTGTGTATTCATAAGAATGTATTTTTTTTTAATTGTTGAAAAAACTTACTTCTGACCTATAGCAACATATGACCACGATAGGATGAAAGCCGAAACCTCGTAACAGTATTTACGCTTTCAAAAGAAAAAGAACAAACATTTTAGCTATAATCAAGATTCCCTTCCTTCAGAGGCAATTTTTTAAATGTCAAGTTAATCTAAACTGTGGCAGTGCCAAATTATTGACAATTATTCATGAAATGGAACACATGATCTTAAAACGGTGATATTAAAGAATAAGAATTATAATGAAATTACCGAACTCCAAAGCAAATTCAAAAAGGGCAAGTCCAGACAAACTGACAAAATCAACGCTATCAATTAACGGAACAAGTGAAAAACAAGTGCCAAACTCCTGACTTGGTACAGGCATATTCCGATGAAAATAATGGGTTAAACCGGGTTTTATAGCTAGCTTAACCTCCTACTTGTATGAAAATTGTAATAACTATAAGATTATAGCAGTGGGCAATTGAATGTTTAAGTGGAGAAAGGATAGAAAGCAATATTACTAAACCAAAAGGACTTCGAGACGTACAACAGTCAGCACAATTTCACACTAGAAATCACGTTATTGTAACCCAACCGACCTTAACTTGGGGTTCACTCAGATGCTCCTGACAAATAAGCAATTCCCTATTTATTGGTAGACTAGTAACTTTGTGTTGCTCAAAGCATTTATGAAAGTTATAACAATCATTATTTTTTTAACTTTCTTATTTCAGATGGAACAATACCCCATTATCAATTGCACAAGAACCTGGATATGAAGAAGTTTACAAAGTTTTTTTGAAGCATTGTATAGTAAGAAAATATACTTTTATGATTGAATTTTATTACTGAAATGTCATTAAAAAACAGTTTAACACTATTACATATACATATAAATGTGTTCTACTGATTTTATTGCGTATGGCGCATGTTTAAAGTGCACACAAGTCTACACTTTTGTTGAGCCAAAAAGATAGCAGTTAAACGATGGCAGTGTACAACAGGAATAAGTCAGTTAATCATTGCTTGGACGCAATAAATTTATCACGTGTCCTTTTTATGTAAGACATTTTTTCGATAATCTAAAATTTTTAAAAAGCTAAATTTAGATCCTTGTTTTCAAGGCTGCAAATGGATGATATCGAGAACACTAATCACATAAAAACAAAATAAACGTTGTCAGAGATATAACGATGCAAAAAGCAGCTTACCAAGAGTTTCATTTCATACTAGCATTCAGTATTTGCAACATGTATCAATATATCAGCTTCCAAAAGTGTTCATAGTTCATATTACTATTTCAAAGCGTTGCAGGCACTACGTCTCATCACTAGATTATTACAGAATGACTTGACAGAGGAAAACAATTTCAATTTTTTAAATCGTAAAACAAATGCAGACATCTCTAAGTAAACACATATTGTTTCTTTCTTTTTTGAATCTTCTATCCTTATCTGTATAGATATTAGTAGATACTGAAAATGACGAATATAGAACTTATGAACTACTTGATGCTGGTGCTAACGGGAAAATTGAAGTACTTAAAAGGTATTTGGCTTCAGTTTATATATATTTTATTAAATATTAAACCTAGAAAAATTAGACTGACAAAGGCATATAGCCTTGAAATTGGCGCATGAACAGTTGTATGGAGGTTTTAATGGAAACCAATTTTGGGCCTCCTCCAAAAAATATAATTCGAATTCGAAATCACGAATTTAAAAATTCATGATCACGGAATAAAATTCTTAACATAAATTGTGTAATTCGTGATCACGAGTTATAAAAATCAGTGATAAAAGATTTAACTTGTAATCATGAATGACAAAAATCTGAGATAACTACTTAGATTTGTTATCACGAATTTAATCCCCGATATCGAATGTAAAGATAATTACGAGAGGACGATTTAGTAGAAATTGACATCTATCATTTACTGAAACTGTATTTTTACATTAAGATGTCCTTTTCATATGGGCTTTCTAAGGAGCAGCATATTTCAGTTTACCCTTTTCTTATTACAGATTGCATAACAAGAAAGTTAATATGAATTTAAGAGACTATGACGGAAGAACAGCTTTACATTTAGCCGCTGCTGAAAATCAATTGGAGGCCGTTAAGTTTCTTGTAAATGAAGCAAAAGTAGAAACATCTATACCTGATAGGTAAGCATCTGTTCTGAAAAAAGAATACATGGTTAACACTATTAAGACGAAACATTAACAACAGTCAACAGAACTATAAGCATCTAATTGAGTGATACAAATTCCACAAAAGCCAAAGGTAGATCTAATTATAAAAAAAAAGAAATATTGCAAATGAGAGAACTATGTATCGAAGACTAAAAGGGATATTCTTTATTCCATCTATAGGTTTCCGAACTGACTTCAACGTCGGACTAGACATACTATTGAATATAAGCAAAATAACATCCCGGTATAGAAAAGAAAAAAATCGTAAGGGTTCCGCGGAACCCAGTGTCTCGCCTACTTTTGCTGTTGTCTATGTTTAGAGTGTGATAGGGGAATGCACATAATAGATTTACAGTTAATGAAATAAAACGTTTGAAATGTATGAAAAAAGTTATGCTTGTAAAAAATGAATACAGTATGCAATCAAATCTATAGATTGTCTGGAAGACAAAAGTCGCAGGCTCACCAAAAATGGGGAAAGAGTTATTAAAAATTTTCCTCTAGATACTATCTTTTGATTGTAAGAAGCTTCTGTCCAAGTTTGGTAAAAATCCAGGATGGTTTATGAATCTAATAAATGTTTTAAAAAATTTAACTGCAGACTGTATGTAATGTTAACTGGAAGAAAAACTAAGTCCATTTATAAGTAATATACGGAAAAACCGGAAATAAATTTTTACAAAATTTCCTTCTAGATACTAGCTTTTGATCATAAACAAGCTTCTGCCAAGTTTGGTGCAAATACAGGATAGTTTAAGAAAATTATAAAAAAAATTTAAACTTTTAACCACAGAGTGAATGTAATGTTAACTGGCAGAAAAGCTAAGTCCATTTATAAGAAAAATACGGATAAAGAGGATTTTATTTTTACAAAATTTACTTCTGGATACTTTCTTATGACCATAAACAAGCTTCTGTTCAAGTTTGGTACAAATCCAGGATATTTTAAGAAAGTTATTAAAATTTTAAAAACTTTAACTACAGAGTGAATGTAATATTAACTGGCAGAAAAACTAAGTCCATTTATAAGTAAAATACGGATAAACAGGATTTTTTTTACAAATTTACTTCTATATACTATCTTATGATCAGAAACAAGCTTCTGTCCAAGTTTGTTAGAAATCCAAGATAGTTTAAGAAAGTTATTAAAATTTCAAAAACTTTAACCACAGAGTGAATATTTGTGGACGCCACCGCCGACGACGACGGAATGTAGGATCGCTATGTCTCGCTTTTGCGACAAAAGTCGCAGGCTCGACAAAAATTGGCAATTGGCTACAAACTATTCTTTGTTGTTGATTTTAGTTTGCATTTTCTATTTTTGAAACAGAATAAACCCAATTAAGGAAAATGAAAACTTTTGATGTTCATGTAATATTTTATATATATATCATTTCCCTCAAGCATGGAAGTATTATATTGATATAATATTCAATATGATACTTCCATGATTGTTCTTAAAAATTACGAACAAGGCTTTGGTTATTTACTCGATCAATCTAAACGAATGTTTAGTAACTTTGGCCTTAAATTGAATTGTTACATGTATTGCTGAAAATAACACATTTCAGTTAATCCAGTTTGTTTTAAGTGCTTACCTCTATATGGACTGGTAATATCCAACCAGTCGGTAAAGTTGATCTGTAACACCATTCTACTGAGTTTCTATAAATCTTTAAAACGTTTAATGCATATGTGGTTTTTCAAATTTGTATCCCGTCTTTTTCTTATTGTTATACAAGATTTAACAAATTTCCATACGTGTTTGTCAATAATACACTCTGTAATAAGATAAAATAGTCAATAAAATAAATAGATAATTTATTTTATTTTAAGTAAGTGTAACCATCTAATACACACTAAATAAATATATATATTTGTAAGACTCTGATCGACGTCCGGTCTTTAATCGACGTCCGTTCCTCAAATCGACGTCCAAATCTGACGTCACAATAAAATAACATTCCAAATCGACGGCCAATTTTATGCTCATCTAATCGACGTCTTTTTTTGTTATTCTGATATCGACGTCCATTTTTTGGCTTCTCTAATCGACGTTCGTTTTATGGACTTGTCGCAGTGAAATCATACACTTTATTAAAGGGTGGGTTGAACCTAAATATCAGAAAGTTGTTGAAAAAGATAAGTCCAAAAATAATACTTTTCAACAATTGGCTGAACGTTTTAATTGTTTCCATTGTTTGAGTCTCTAGTCTGCCCTCTAGATGTCTTTCGGTTATCTTCGTCTTTGACAAAACGTGACAGATAATATAAACAAAGATCAATTCTAATATAATTCTTCTGTCGCTTTGGAAACAAAGCCATGTTCTTATTCCAATACAACATGAGCTGCACGTGATTGACATCACAATTGAAATTGCAACGTCAGTTGTGTTTTGACCAACGCCGGAAATCAAAATGGACATTTGTATTCGTGTTGCTAACAAGTAAATTAATTAAAATCATTATAAATTTAAACAAAGTTTACACGTTTCTGTTCATTTTTTTTATGTGAAATTGATTTTCTATAATATTTTGGCTTCATCAAATCAAAATGGATGCCTTTCGAACGCCTATTATAGGTCCGCTTCGATGTACAAAAGTTCTATTTCTTTCTATTAGAATCGAAATAGTTCTATCATGCCATGTTCTATGCTCATTTTAACATGGGTAGGCATTATATTTGTCAACATTTACACCTCGTTTACGCTCGTTATAACTATATTGACCAATCAAGTGCCTACCAATGTTAAGGTGAGCATAAAGCATGGCGTGAAAGAATTATTTCATAATTTAAAAAAAAAATAATTGCATGAAATTAGACATCGCGATGAGAGTCTCCTCATCGATCGGATGTCGTTTTTGTGATTCATTACGTTACATTAGACGTCCAGATTTAAGAACGTGGCGTCGATTAGAGACCGGACGTCGATCTGAGTCTAACATATATATAAAGTAAGTAAGTAAATTATTTAGTATAGTGACATGTGTAAATATGTTCAGATTATAAACATATAATATATGATAAATATGAATACACCCGGCCCAATGGACCTATAAGTCACCTCAAATGATTTTAAATAATTATAAAACACTTATCATGTTCTTGAAATTAACAAATATGCATGTATAATCAGAAATCCGTTACTAGGGCCCTTAGTAATAGACTTCTGATATGATATATAGACACTGTCATAACACCCTAACATTAAGTACATCAAATGTATATCACTGTAATATCACAACAGTCATTCAATTGTCACTTACAAAAAAATTCACAGCAATTTAAACGGTAAAATTTTATCATAGCTTATTACTTTTTTCGAATTCAAATTCCAATTGTCGCATTTATCTTCCTATTCTATTCGTGGTATTCTTAATATGCAAAAATGTCAAGAAACGTTTGCTCGTATATTGTAAATATTCATTTTATCAAAGATTTTTTATCTGTTCAGAGAAAATAGACGACCTTTCAATGAAGCTAAGCATGAAGAAATTAAAAATCTTTTGGGAACCTCAGATACTGAACATACAAACGCTACATATTACAAGGTAAGTAAGCTCATTAATAAACAATTTTGATTCAAAAATTGATTTATGAAATCGATTATTTATATAACAACATGTGCTTTATTGAAGCATAATCTTGTGGCTTTGTAATTTTTCTTTTAAAACGATAAACACTTTCTCGAATAAGATGTTAAAAAACCACGAAATGGATCAATTGAGTATCTCTTGAATCTTTTAAAGCGTGGAACGGAAAAAACGGGAGTCATTAATGGTCCCATTTTAATGAAAATCCTATTTTAAACAAACATTCATACTGCCTAAACCACGTGGTTTTTAATAAAGATTTAAACCGGCTAGATGTGCCCGTTTTTAATCATCGGAGGCTAATTTCAGTCGGAAAAAATTCAAAAGGCACGTTAGAGTGAACGTTGATGCATGATGCGTGATTTTTTATTGTTAATTGTTTTGAGCTTTCAGTGACTGTGAGTCTCTCAAATCGTACTTTCATGATGTTTTGACCTTTTGACAGAATTTGTAATGCATTTCTGTAATTCAATGTTTACTTATTTTGTGTTATATTGTAACGAATTTTAAGTTTCACTGTTCCCTTTTATGTAATTAAGTTTGTGCTGTACAAAATTTTTTATATTATGTTTCAATTTTTCATGTTGATTATATATTGTTATCAAATCAAATCAAATCAAATCAAATCAAATCAAATATTTTATTGTCGTATAAACTTTACAGTTTGTGACCAACATGTATAAACACAATAAACATATATACATACATATCAAACATACACAATAAAAAAACAGCATCAAAATTTATAAAAACAAGCAAGCTGTTAAGAGTCCCATGCCCTCAGTTCTAATGACTTTTTCAAGAAGGATCCTAACTTATTTGTTTGTAAGGCGTTGATGGATTTAGTAAATAATGAATTTTTTCTTCTTCATTTAAATTATTAAAGTTATTATTTTCAGTACATATGTGTTCATAAAAGGCATTTCTTAGTGTTTTATTATAATCACAATAGAGTAAAAAAGGTTTCTCATCCTCTGGTATTTTACATTTATGACAAAGTCGTTTCTCTCTTGGGATTTTAAAATATCTCCCCTTTTCAATTAAGAGGGAGTGATCACTTAGTCTAAATTTATTGATCAATCTCCTTATCTGAAAATTAGATATATTTAGATAAGATTCTAGTTTGCAATTTTTTTCAGTTTTTTATATAGATAAAATTTACTTTTATCATCAATGCTTTCAAATTTAGTTTCAATTAAATCTTCATATCTATTTTTCATTTTTAACTTTATATCGTTTTTTACTTTATTTACATCTTTTATATCCCTACAAGTAGAAAGAATTTTAAGGTCAATATTAGTCTCTTCAACAATATTTTTTGCATATGTATACCATGAATAAGTTCCAGTCAAATCTAGAGACTGTGCTAGAGAAAAAGCTTCCTTTATCAATGGATTAATATTATTATTATATAGTCTAGCTAAATATAAAAGGGTTTGTGTTTTAATAAAACATTCTATAGGCAATCTTCTTATTCAACTCTTGCTCCTAAATTGGATGCATTTTTTCTTATTCCTAGAGTAGATTTACAAAATTTAAGATGCATATTTTCAATAGGGGTTTTGTCTGTAAAATCAAGTTGATTAATTTGTTTTCCTGAAGATAAGGCTCTGTGTTTGGCTCTATGAAAAGAAATATATGTATCCAAATATGTTACTTCTGAATTATAGGTCATAATTGGTTTTACTAAAGAATCAATAAGATTATTTGCTACTTTTATAGGTAGATTATTCAATGATTTAGTATAGGATTTTATTACAAAAAAATACTTTTTTTGCCTTTTTTGTCAGCTCTAAAGTACTTTGTGATAAACTTCCATTACATTTTATCAACATTCCCAAAAATGAATATTCTGATACGCTTTCTATGGCTTCATTCTCATAGTAAATATGTGATGTTTCACCATTTTGTTTGGACTGACTGAAAATCATGAATTTCGTTTTGTTTGTATTTAAAGAGAGTTGCCATTTGTTGCAATATAATTTAACATTATTTAAACTGTTTTGAAGACCCTCTTTCGAGTCTGACAGGATTAAAAGATCATCCGCAAAAAGGTGGCATCCCACCTTACTATGTATAAGCTTAAGGGGACTTGAATCATTTCCCTCAAAATGTTTTTCAATATCATTTATGAAGACATTAAATAAAGTGGGGCTCAGGGTATCTCCTTGTTTAACCCCTCTAGCAATATTAAAAAATTCTGATACATAATCTTTGTATTTCAAAGATGATTTAGTATTTAAGTATTGTTGTTTTATAACTCAAAAGCCTTTTTCATATCTATAAAGCAGGCATCAATCTTTTTTTTTTCTCTTTATGTAAATATTTATTAATCAAGAACTTCAATAAAAAGATGCTATCAGCTGTTCTGTGATTTTCTTTGAAACCAAACTGACAATCACTTAAATGTTTGTCAACAATCTTGATTAGCCTATTATTCAATATGGCATTAAACATTTTTGGTAGATTACTTATAAGAGAAATTCCTCTATAATTATTAAGGTCTGACTTGTCACCTTTTTTATGTAAAGTATCATGAAAGATAATTTCCATGAATCTGGATAATTACCTGTCTTTAAAATCAAATTAAAAACTTTTACAATAGAATTAATTATCACAGGTTGCGAATGTTTGAGTATTTCATTCATAATTCTATCCGGACCTGCTGATTTGTTTACTTTAAGGTTTGAAATGACCAGTTTTACCTCAGCAAATGTAATTGGTGCATCAGTTTCCATATTCAATTCAATATTATCCTCTAGAATGTTTAATTCACGTTCCAGTTTATTTACAAAGGGTTTATCATATGATGCTGATGTACCCTGATCCTGAAAATGTTTTATGATTTTATTTTCATTCATTAAAATTTCAGGAATATCTTCTTCAATATTTGGTTTCTTTCTCTTGCCTTTAGAACATTCCATTATACTTTTGGATTATTTTTAAAATTATCTGAAAGTGATTTATAAAGTTTTTGGTGATATTCAATTTTTTTCTGTTTAATCATTTCATTTAGTTTTTTACATAATTCAAAATATTTAGGTTTTAAACTTTTGTTATTTAAGTTATTCTTGATTGTATTTCCTATATAGCTTATTTGTCTTTTTGTTTCATATACTGTATAATCTGACCATAATTGTTTAATTTTTTTTCTTTTTCTTTTTAGTTGGTTTATATATGCCTTTACATGAATTTTCTGTAATAGTTTGTAAAATTTTTGTAAGTTTTTAAGTTGCACCATCAACTCCTAGTTTATTGCTATCAAAATGTTGCATCTCTAAATCTAAAATTTCCTTTTTAACATTTTCTGTTGATAGAACATCAATTAATTTTGAAAATGACAATTCTGTCCGTTTGTATGATTTAATCAAATGCCATCTCTTTTCATCTAAATATTTCTTCATGCATGTATCTGATATAATAGAACAATTCATATATAAGTTTATTTGAACATGATCTGATAAATATGTAAAGTCATTTGTTTTAAAGTATTTTACCTCAGGAAGGAGACTCTCACTTGCAATGGCATAATCAACTGTACTGAACCCAGTATTACACATATAAGTAAAATATCACAAAAAACGGCCATTGAGTATACGTAGCCTTGAGGACGAACATAATTCAAGTAATTTGTTCCCCAATGTATTCAAAGTGTTATTTTGGTTTACTCTTCTGATTTCAATATCAGTTATATAGCTCTCTGGAAGAAGGTCAATACCATCAAAATTATTTATTTCATCTGAGTCATTTGCTATGTAATCTGCTTTCATTGCAGTTCTAGAATTAAAATCCCCAATTAAAATAATTTGTCCTTCAATAGAAAATTAACTAATTTCATTTTCAAAATTTTATAAGTCACTATCATAATGTGCTGATCAAAAAGGGGGGATATAAACAGCACAAATATATATATCTTGTTTAAATCCAAAGAAATACTTATCAAGCTTTAATCTATTCTGGGATGACGTAGCATCTTTAAGAAAAGAAATCCCCTTGTAAAATTGTTTTTTAATAGTGACTATAATGCATCCACCGTGTATTTTGGCTTTTTTTTGTTTTCTTGCGTATTTTAGAGATATCATTCCAAATGTGATTTAAAAACAGCAAATGACGTCATGCTACTTTCGTTTTTGATTATAGAGAATATATTGTTCTAGTTTTAGAATATTTAAATTATTGAGAACAAAATCTAATATAGAGTTAGAATGTATTTATCATGGTCTAAAAATGCTTATATTTTATGTAGAGAGGATAACCTGGACAAGTATTTGTTACGTACACAAGGTTGATTGACGTTGTTCAGCTGTTTTTTCTGACAACCGTTGTTATAGTCAAATAACCTTATTTGGTTTATAAATACATACGTTTTGGCATAAAACCTGATTACTAAATCGTTTTCTAAAACACATGTGATTAATATTGGTGACTAAAGTTAAATTGTTTTATTTATTTAAATAAACGTCATTTTTACATTGCATTTCAAGACTTGAGAAGTCGTTTAACTTACGTTTTGGAATAATTCTTCCTATTCAATATCTACTGGATGGTTGTAAAACCGATGTTTGAATGAGGCATTTTCATTTTATCCATTGCTCCGAGACAAAGATCTTATAGTTTAATCGTAGCATACATTATTCATGTTGGCCAAAAGCACAAACGTAACGTCGTTCACCATTGTTTACAGCAGTCTCAATGTCGTTACCAATCATTATGACGTCATCAGCAGGTGCGTTGCTACTTAGTATAAATAGAGGACACATTATTGAGTTTCTTCAGTTGTGATTTGACTCCCGAGGTACATAGTACACTCGATAAAAAGATCTCGCAAAACGCTTAAGTCTCAGACTCTCTTTAATTCTATATATGAATAAAGACCCACGCTTTTCCAAGGTATTATTTATTAGTAGTGACTCAGTCAGTATTTTCATATGAAAACAGTCACGAATGACACTCTAGAA